GGGGGGGGGGGGGGTGCACGTGGGAGCGGGGATCTGGGACTGAGGGTGCGTTCACACAGCTCGTCCGATTGTCGGACAAGCAGTTCGTCGGGCGTTCCGTCGGTCGCTCTTTCCTCAGACAAAGCTTCCGAGAGCTAGTTCGAAGCGCTGTCCATCTGTCGGTCGGACAAACCGTGTGATCTCACCTCCTCGACCGAAGTCCTTGTTTCACCATCAGTTTACGATTCAACTTCCATCTTGGTGGAGTCACCGGTGGCTTCATACTGATGCGAGCTGAAACGTGTAACGATGGTGCAACGAGCGCTTTGTGGTGATAACCTGCGAGGCTTCTAGCCATGGATCACGGATTTTGGGTACGATAGCCACCCGGGCAAAGTGTTTGCTGGTTGGTGGGGAAGCTCTGCCGATCACCTCCTCGCTTGTTCTGATCTGCGGCTATCCCGCTTAGTGCCACAGCTTTGAATGCACGTCGCGTCGAAAGCGGAACTTTTTCAGGGCCAAGCACCAGCGGACTGATAATTGAAATTGATGGACAAAGCTATAGGCAAAGAGGACATAGGGAGTGTTTGAGCGACCCTATTTGTTGAAATGAGTGCACCGGTAGAAATGATTGGTTGAATTGAGGCTGTGTAGATTTGGTATAGGTCAACAATTGGCCTGAAAAAAGCGATAAGAAAACGGCGTTTGGAATCAAGTCTTCGTTGTCTTGGATTAAAAAACTGGCGTTGCTTTGATTTTAGAATAATTAGAAACTCGGAACATGCCATGATAGTTGTCTTGGTTCATGACAACAAGATTTGCTAAACGAGGTGAGGTAATACTTTCATTATTGCATCATTTAATTATTGCAGTTTGACGAGTCCAGGAACTCTTGCAAATTGCCGCGATTGCTGATTGCATGCGTCACATAAAACTCAAGACTCCCTGATTAAAAATATATATGGTTTTGTTGTCTTCGATCAGAAAACCAGAATGCTTTCATTGAAGAAAAGAAGGGTTTGTAACTGGCTACAGTTGTCCTGTGTCGGGACAATAAAGTTCTTGGATCCAGAAAACAATTTTACTTTAGTTGAAGGAAATTATAGTTTCGAAACATGACTTCGCCGTTGTCCTGTCTCCGAAAAACAGTGACATGTTTCAAGAAATAATTACTTGAATTGAGAAAACATTTTCTTGTTTCAAGAAAACGTTGTTGGCCTCTTTCAGGACAACTTTTTTCCTAATACATGTAAAGAAGGCGTTGATTCAATGCAACATTGTCTTGGCCTAAGAAGGCCATGATCAAGAAAACGTGTTGTCTCAGTCAACTCAAACCATTTCTACCGGTGCATTTATAGCTTTGTCTATCAATTTCAACGATCAGCCCGCTGGGGTCTGCAAGCTCCCACATTTTCACGCTCCCGCCCGCAGGCTTTCAGCATTTTTTTCATCGGTTTTCCACAAAATTTTCCACCATTGGGAACTTACTTATGGGACTCAAACGTAGTCCCCTTACGTACTCGTAGTCTACCGTGCTAAGCAAGAACGCCATAAATCTATCAAGATTTTCTCTCGTTTTTTGGAACTTAACACTTCATAAAATAAATAATGTTTCACCCAAGCATCAAAAATTTTCAGGTTAAGTTCTTGGTGGGGTTTGCGGAAGAATTCTGAAAAATTATTGTCCCCAGGTACAAAGTTTGTCTGCTATGATACATTGTACGCAAAAAATTTAAAATGGCATTTACGACGCTTTTGCGTTGCACGGCAGTAGTATGTAGGGGAAGAAATAAGTGGAGTATTCGATTTATAACTTGTGCAAGAGCAGAACGAAGAGGAGTCAGTCAAAAATAAGATCTTATTTCTGTTTGCATTGTTTCCTTACGAAAAGGCACATAGTAAGCGCAAGCATCATTCTTTCAGCTGTGTGTAAATTTCGTAAATCAATTTTATATTTTAATAAATTTTCGATGAATGGGAAAGAGAAAAATACCAACACTTCCATAGAACACAATAACTGCCTGCAAATACTAGGTTGGAACTTTAAAAAATGGCATTGAGCTGAAATGATTGGTTGCTCTTCTCTCTCAGCTCATGAATCAATAGTCTCATTTTTGAGGGAGTTAAATTCTGTGGGACTCCATAAATAATACAGAGGAAGATATAAATGGTTTCTGAAGAGAATTGATAAAAATAAAGAGAAACCGAAAAATTGATAGAGAGATCAGCTAATTGAACTTCCGAAACGACGTTTATTGTAAGCAGTTGCATAGCCAGAAGGGAGGGTAGCCAGAAGTGTTGGGCCCTCTCCCGCCTCCTTCCTAGGACAAGAGTGTGATCGTAACCCTCCTTCCCACGAAAAATTTCTAGTTACTCCACGGGTGTAAGCTAGCAACTACTATTGAAAGTTACAAGCGGTTAAAAACCTTTTCAGTTTGTAAGGCCTTT